GCAGCTTGTATTATATTCTGACAATACTGCTCTACAGACTGAAAGTTCTACTCATGAAGCATTATAACACTCTACTTCTGTTTCTGGTTTAAAGCAAACACTTTGGGCTCTTAGTAGCTCACCTATCAGCAGCCTGATAAACAACAATAGCAGCTGAGAGACCAGTGAAATTATGTTGAATGCCTAAGGGACAACTGAAAGGAAGAAGTCAAGGAAGAGCCATTTTAGTGTATGAGAGAGTCATAATACATGACTAAAGTTTCTGCATAAAAAATGGGAAGAGTCAAAATTACTCTTGAAAGTCCCTTAAATTATCTATGAAGGCAAGTATATGTGGTTTTGTGTGAAGAGGAAGTATATATCTCAAGTTCATGACAGGGTAAAACCTCACTGAATTTTACATTTCTCTCACAAGTGAATGTTACTCAAAAGATAGTGTTTCATTTTTGAATTTAATGGAGAAATATAAATTAAGGAATGTTTTTTAAAATCTTACAGGTCAGGAAAAGGCCCAGAGAAATACTCAGCTGATCTTTGACATAAGTGCAAAGACAACTTAATGAAGAAAAACAGTCTTCAACAAATGATGTTGGAACAAGTAGATATCCACATATAAAAATATGAAATCTAGGCACTAACCTTCTATCTTTTCCCTACAGAAACTCTAAATTGTAGGCTCCAACTTTGTGGTGGATGAAACACAGGCCTCTTTCTTCACATGCTGTGACTAGTACTCTATCAATGAGCTACATCCCCAGCCCAAGATCAGGGATCTAAATGTAAAATTATATAACACATAAAAATATAAAACTTTGGGGCTGGAAAGGTGGCTCAGTGGTAGAGCGCTTGCCTTGCATGCATGAGGTCCTGGGTTCGATTCCCCAGCACCACATAAGCAAAAAGAAAAAAATAAGCCGGAAGTGGCACTGTGGCTCAAGTGGTAGAGCGCTAGCCTTGAGCTGAAGAGCTGAGGGACAGTGCCCAGGCCCAGAGTTCAGGTCCCATGACCAGACCCCAAAAATATATATATATATATATATATATATATATATATATACTTCTAAAACATAATATTAAAAAATCTAAGTAATCTAGATATTTTTGTTATTGTTTCTGAGACAGAATCAGACTGGCCTCAAACTCACTAACTTCCTGACTACACCTCCCAAATGTTGGGATTACAGGCATGCACCACCATGCTCTAATGGAGATGATACCATGAAAATATTACAGGAAGGGAGAGGGGAAACACTATCGCATAGGCGAAAACTTCCTAAGTAAAGATCCAGAATCACAACAAATCAAAGACTGGATAAATGAGACTGCATCAAACTGAAGAGTTTCTACATGGCAAAAGACACAGCTAGCAAGATAAAAAGAAAGCCCACAAAATGGGAGAAGATTTTTATATCAGACAAGGGCCTCAACCTAAAATATATTTAGAGCTCAAAAAATCAAACACCCAAAACAAATAAACCCTCAAAGAAACAATAACCCAATTAATAAATGGGCTAAAGACTTAGGGACTTCTCAGAAGAAGTAAGAATGGCCAATAGATATTATGAAGAAATGTTCAACTTCTCTGGCCATAAAAGAAATGGAAATCAAAACAACATTGAGATTTCACCTCACCCCAGTTAGTATGGCCATTATCAAGAAAACTAACAATAACAGATACTGATGAGGATGTGGCAAAAAGGGAATGCTACTGTACTGTTGGTGGGAATGTAAACTTGTTTAACCACTCTGGAAAGCAGTATGGAGGTTTCTCAAAAGACTAAACATAGAGCTTCCCTATGACCCAGCAATTCCACAGCTGGGCATTTATTCAACAGACTACAAACAAGGCCATACTAAAGCTATCAGCACAACCAGGTTCACTGCAGCCTGTTTACCATAGTCAAGATATGGAATCAATGGAATACACAATGGAATTCTATGCTTCCATCAGAAAGAATTGCACTGATTCATAAGGAAATGGAAAGACTTGGAAAATATTATATTAAGCAAAGTAAGACACACCCAAAGAAATATAGGTTGCATGGTTTCCCTCATTTGTGATAACTAGAATGTGCCTATAAATCTACAAGTAAACACAGTGGATGGTAAAAGACAAAACCAAATTACTCTTGGACATGATAAATTATACAGGACTCTAAACATTCACACAGTGAGAGGAGAGGATCACAGAGGTGCAATAGCTAACATATGATCATATAAAATGATGTTTATCAAAATGAACTCCAAGAAATGGAGACAAGAGGGTGTTTTTGTTATTTTACCGCCCCCACCTGCTTTTGATTTCTGTAACTTTTGTATGTAAGTTTAACTGTTATAGGAAAGTAAGAGGGAAGGTCAGAAATGGTAGGACAAAGTATAAACAAATGCAGCAGTGATACTCAATAGACACCATGTTGAAAATGAACTATACAACTTGTGGAGGAGGAGGATTGGGAGGGAAAAACTGGGAGAAAATGGTTCAAAAAGAAATGTACTTATTATCTGACTTATGTAACTAACTCCTTTGTATATCACTTTTACAATAACAATAAAAATAATTTTGAAAATTGTCTATTTAGAGAGTTAGAGAAGAGGTGACATTATACAATAATATACTCTTAGCTGGTTTATAACCCTAGCTACTCAGGAGGCTGAGATCTGAGAATCGCAGTTTGAAGCTGGCCTGGGCAGAAAAGTCTGTAAGACTCTTATCTCCAATTAACTACCAAAAAAAAAAAAAATAGTGGCACTGTGGCTCAAAGTGGTAGAGCAGTAGCCTTAAGTGAAAAAGCTCAGAGATGGTACCCCAAGTCCTAAGTTCAAGCCCCACAACCAACAACAAAAAAAAAAGAAAAAGAAATATATGTGTTACCTGACTTATATAACTGTAACCCCTCTGTATATCACCTTTATAATAATAAAAAATTTAATTGTCTATTTAAAAAATTTAACAGCTGGGCTCTGGTGGCTCACACCTGTAATCCTAGTTACTTACTTAGGAGGCTGAGATCTGAGGCTCACGTTTCAAAGCCAGCCTGAGTAGGAAAGTCTGTGGGACTCTAATCTCCAATTAACCAGAAAACTGGAAGTGGCTCTGTGGCTCAAGTGGAAGAGCACTCACCTTGAGCTAAAGAGCTCAGGGATAGCACCCAGGCCCAGAGTTCAAGCTCTAAGACCGACCACACCCCCCTCACCAAAAAAAAAAAAAAAAAAAAGAAAAAGAAAAAGGAAACAAAGCATCAAAATCAAAATAGAAAAACATTGACTGGCATGAAACTGATATTATGAATTACTAAAGATAAAAATTGAAGTCAGATGTCAGTGGCTCAAACCTGTAATTCTAGCTACTCAAAAGACTGAAATCTGAGGATAGACTTTTCTACTAAGACGGGTGGTAACATCACTAAACACAAATTTCTGACACTCAGTGAAATGTGGTAATATTCTATAAGATCTGAAGTACAACTAATCAGTATTTTCTCAATGTTCAATGTTCTACTTTCTCCCTAAATACTTGTAATTTAGAAAACAAATTTTATTTTATTTAAATTTTGAGACAGAGACTCAAGACTAGCCTTGAACTTAAGGCTATCTACTTTAGCCTACTGAGCACTGAGATTAAGGATGTCACTATGACCAGCAAAATAGTTGTTGTGGTGTTTTTTTGTTTTGTTTTGTTTTCATGGGTCATGGGCTTGAACTCTGGGCCTGGGCACTGTCCTTGAGCTCTTCGGCTCAAGGTGAGCACTCTACTACTTGAGCCACAGTGCCACTTGGTGTTTTGTTGGTTTTTTTTTTAATGTTATATCTCAAGGATTAACAATAATAAGCTGTCTAATAATCATAAAATAGGATGCAGTAGAAAAAGAGGCCTAATTTATAAAAGCAGAGCAAGTATTTAATAGCTCTTAAATAGTAACCTAAAAGTAGAAATGGAATTGTTTTACTATTGCCTTCTTTTTTTGCAGTTACTAAACTCATGGCATGAAATGCTAGGCCACTGACTCTACCACTGACTCCACTCTTGTCTGAGCCTAGCAAGTATTTTTACTGGAAAGGCTTCTTACTGCCACAAGAACAATAAATATAATCTTTATACTCCTAACTTATTCAGGCAATTTCTGTAAGAACCTGGAAGGATCCATGTGTGGTAGTGTAAGTCTGTAATCTCAATGCTCAGGAAGCTGAGGTAGAAAATCACAAATTTGAGGCAAGCCTGGGCTATGTTACAAGATCCTGTCTCCAAAGGAAAAAGAGAAGGCGCGGTCCCTACATTTTGCTATCTTCCAAAACTTATTGCAGGGAAGAACATGTGAAGCCCAGAACAGAATACCTGTTGAAGAAAAAATTCAAGCATGGAGAGACAATGCAGCAAAGTGTTTTAATGTTTAAAGGCATAGAGATTCTACTTTCAAGCTATCTTAACATCACTGTTTGAACCTAATGAGGAAAACTGAAAATGTAGACCTAAATTCTGTAGCAGGCAGAAGAAGTAATTTAACAATATAGAATCAACCCCTGAGTACCATCTCCCATTGCTGTAACCTCCAGCAATAACAGCTTTGACTCTGAGGTTTCCCCTCTGAAAACAACCTTAGAGGGAAATGAGAGACTCAAATACAACACCGGGAATGAAGTACCCCGCCCAGTACCAGCTCATAGTAGGTGCCCAGCAAACATCAGTTCCCTCCCATGCTACTTTTATCAACATAAAAAGCATACAATTTGTTAGGAGAAAAAAAAGTAGCATAAAAGCATACAATTTGTTAGGAAGTTATTCAAATTCATTTTTCCATGCCCAGATTTAGAAAGTCAGAAATCTATTTTACAAGCAGTTGGTGTGAAATAAGTCTGAGATGCATAGGCCCAGGAAGTGCTTAAGTACCCTGAGCTGGATCACTGGGGAGGTCTGGTTCCAGGCCAATGCCTGAAAGGACAGACTTGGCCAAGAATGCAGCTTTAATGGCTAGGAGACCGCCAAAAATGAGAGAAAGGATTACTTGAGCTTCGGCTCCCGGCCTTCACTTGTATACTGCCAACATATGAGCCCGATGAGGTCCTGCACCCTGGCACTGGCCATTGTCACCACGGTCATTGGCAGCAGTCTGTCCTGGCTTGAGTGCAGGGGGAGGTAGACATCAATCTTCTTGGTTGCGGTTGTACCTACATGACCCTGTGGACAGAGCACATGCATGAGAAGTGAGCACAGAGCCACAGCCACACAGACCCTTCCAGGGCCACAACCACCATTCTTCGGGCCTGAGTCCATACTCCCTTTCCTTTTGTTTTTTTTTTTTTTTTTTTTTTTTGGGTCCGGTCAGAGAGCTTGAACACTGGGCCTGGGTGCTGTCCCTCAGCTCTTCAGCTCAAAGCTAGCGCTCTACCACTTGAGCCACAGTGCGACTTCCGGCTTTTTTTCTTTTTGCTTATGTGGTGCTGGGGAATCGAACCTAGGGCCTCATGCATGCAAGGCAAGCGCTCTACCACTGAGCCACCTTCCCAGCCCTGTATTTTTCTTTTGTAGTACTGGGTATTGAAGCCAGGGCCTCAACTTGAGCCATACCCTCTGCCTCAACACAGCCATTTCTCATCTGCTCTGAGCCCAGGCTACGCCTAAGTGGAAGTGCTGTGTAGTTTTAAGGGTCTCTTTCCTTTAACATTCATATTCTACTGGTCCAATGGCTCAGCCTCTGAGCACTACTAAAAGAAATAAATAGGCTGGGTGTCTGTGGCTCACACCTGTAATCCTAACTACTCAGGAGACTGAGATCTGAGGACTGAGGTTTGAAGCCAGCTGGGGCAGGAAAGTCCGTGTGACTCTTATCTCCAATTAACCACCAGAAAACCAGAAATGTGGCTCAAGTGGTAGAGCGCTAGTCTTGAGCTGAAGAGCTCAGGAACAGCACCTAGGCCCAGAGTTCAAGCCCCACGACAGACAAAAATAATAATAAATTAATTAAATAAATAGACCACTCAGAAAGCTGGAAATGGTACTGTGGCTCAAGTGGCAGAGTACTAGCCTTAAGCACAAAGAGTTTAAGGGACAGCATGCAGGCCCTGAGTACAAGCCCCAGAACGAGCAAAAGAAAAAAGGAAAAAAAGAGAAATAAGTAGGAGTGTCAAGGAGAGTTGACAAGTGTGTTTAGTAGTTTTGTCAATAACTCATATGACCTTGGAAGACAACATTTGACCATGGCATCAGTTGCCCTCCCCAGCAATCACCATACTACTGCTACTGCCTGAGAGGTTGAGACAAGCAGCCTCAAATGCTGACATTCTCTCTGGGGAAGTGTTTACATTGGGACCAAGTGCTTGGCCTCTCAGAGTCTGCAGAGGTGACTTCCCTCATGCACTTTCTGTTACTCCAGTGCCCCTGAGTTCAAGTTCCACTACTACTCGTGTCAAGCTGCTTTATGTATCTTCCCCATCCTCCTCATTCCTGAGCCCTCCTCTCTGCTCTTTGAAGCTCTTGCAATAGTCAGAAAATCTTCAGATGCATTTAAAAAAAATTTTAAGGCATTGTTGATATTTGAACTCAGGGCCACATGCTTACTAGGCAGTTCTCTACTACTTGACCCCTTTTGGCCATAGATATTTTTTGAGATAAGATCTTGGCATTTGTTGCCCAGTTGGCCTGGACTGTGTTTCTCCTACCTTTGCCTCCGACATAGCTGGGATAACAGGCATGCACTACCCACATCCAGCTTGGTGGTTGAAATGAGGGTCTCATGAACTGTTTTTCCTAAGCATGCCTTAAACTACAATCCTTCTGATTTCTACCTCTTGAATAGTTGGAATTATATAGGCATGAGCCACTGCGCCTGGCCCTCAATTTCTTTGTAGAAACAATTTCTCAACTTCTGTCCTTAAAACCTGCTGTTTGAGTTGAGGATACTTCTTTTTCTGCTGCCCTGAAAGGACTCCTTTGCCTTCCTTTCCTATCTATTCTCTTTCCCTCCCTTCCATTCTCCTTCTTTGTCCTTTTCTCATTAAAAGATGTGTAGTTCCAAGGATTCCTTTCCTCCTCGGAACATGTCTACTATGCAGGATATTAGAAAAAAAGCCCAAGTAACTTAAGTCCAAATCAGAGCATATAAGGAACCCCTATTCCCTCTTACCCCAGCAGTAGCAACAGCCTCCTTATTGGCTGCCAAGTTAACAATCTAGATTCTTCTTTCTTCCTTTACTATTTTCTCCTCTAGCAAGATCTAGTGTGTCTACTTCAAAAATACACTTCAACGGGAGTCTCATCGATAGATGATGTTGGGACAACTGGATAGCCACACACAAAAAAGAGTACATGGAGCTGGGTGTGGTGGCACATGCCTGTAATCCCAACTTCTCAGAAGTTTGAAGCCAACTCAGGTAAGATTAGCAGAAATCCCTATCTCAAAAATAAAAATAAAAACAAAAGAGATAGAGTAAGCATTCGCCTAGCAGGCTTGAGACACTGGTTTCAATCTCCAGTACCAGACACACACACACACACACACACACACACACACACACAAAAATAATTTGAACTCCTACTTCATCAAAACATTTATTAAAGATGAATCAAAGACTAAATGTAAGAGATGAAAATATAAGCTTTTAAAAAGAAACATAAATATAATTATTAGATTATGCAATAATTCAAAGGACAAGCAACAAAAGGTCATGTTAAAGTCCAGCTTAAGTATAGAGTAAGACCATGTCTCACAATCAAAAGTTTAAATTAAAGCCAAGTACCCTGGTTCATGGCTGTATCCTGGGAGGCTATGATCTGGAGGATCATGGTTCAAAGCCAGTTCAAGTAAGACTGTCTTCAAAGTAACAAACAAAAAGTAGAGTTGGAGACCTGGCTGAAGTGGCAAAGCACCAGCCAGCCAAGCAAGCTAAGTGAGTATAAGGCCCTGATTTTAAAATCCTATTACTGAAAAAAGAGAGAGAGGGAAGAGGAGAGAAAGGGAGAGGAAGGAATAGAAGGAGAGGGAGGAATAGAAGAGGAGAGGGGAGGAGAGAAAGGAAATGAGGGGAGGAGGAGAAGGGAAGGGAGGGAAAGTTAAATCTCTTTGTGCCACAAAAGAAACTATCAAGAAAGTCATAGGCTCACACCTGTCATGTTAGCTATGTAAGAAATAGAGATCTGGATTGTATTTCAAGGCCAGCTCTGGAAAAAAGTTAGTGAGATTGCATCTCAACCAACAAGCCAGATGTGGGGTACACGCTTGTCATCCCAGATGAGTAAGAGGATGGCAGTCCAGTCCTGTCCGGGCAAAAATGCAAGATACTAAAAAACAGGCAAAAAAAGGACTAAAGTCATGGCACATGTGGTAGAGTGCTTGTCTCAAAAGCAGCATGAGACTCCCCAAGTTCAAACCCCAGTACTGTGAAAAAGAACATTGAAAGAAATAAAAAGAAAAAATTAGTGAAAAGTCTAGAATATCTACAGCCTACAGTAGCTTGAGAATGCTTATAACTCAACATAAAAAGAAAATCCAGTTGGGCACCAGTAGCTCATACCTGTATTCCTAGCTACTCAGGAGGCTGAGATCTGAGGAAAGTGGTTCAAAGCTAACCCAAGCATGAAGGAAAAATCTATGAATCTCTTATCTCCAATTAACCACCAAAAAGAAAAAAGAAAAAAAAAAGCTAGAAGTAGAGCTAAGGCTCAAGTGGTAGAATGCTAGCCTTGAGCAAAAAAATCTCAGGGACAGTGCCTACTAGGTCTTGAGTTCAAACCCTAGGACCAGCACAAAAATAAAACAAAAAAGATAATTCAATTAAAAACATTGACAAAGTATTTCAAAGAAGATATAAAATTGGTCAATAAACATACAAAAAGATGTTCAATATAACCAATTGTAATGAAAATCAAAATCAGAGGTATCATTTTTGTTTTTTATTTTCTTTTTCTAGAACCAAAGTTTGAATGCATAGTCTTGCACTGTAGCTTGGCTTTCTATGCAGTGCTCGCACTCTATCACTTGAGCCATACCTCTAGCCCTCAGAGATACCATTTCATAATCACTAATATAGCTCTAATTAAAAACAAAAAATCCTCCCCCCCAAAATCCCACAATAAAAATGCTTGACAATAGTTCATAAGGATGTATAGAAGTTAGAGCCTCACACATTGCCAGTGGAAATGCAAAATGATGCATCCATTGTGAAAAGCAGTTTGGCAGTTTCTCAAAATATTAAACAGAGTTACCAGATGACCCAGCTATTTCCCTCCTAGGTACATACTCAAGACAATTTGAAAACATATGTTCACATAAAAACTTGGACCTGAATGTTCATAGCAATGCTATTTATAACAGCTAAAGAATGAGAACGACCTAAATGTCCTTCAACTGGTAAGTGGATAAACAAAATCCATACAACAAAATATTACTTAGTCATAAAAAGGAATGAATTACTAATACATGCTATAATATGGTAAACCTTGAAAACATTACTAAGAAAGAAGCCAAACATAAAAGTTCACTTACAGTCTAAACCCATTTATGTGAAATGTCTCGAGTAGGCAAATTCAGAGTCAGTAGATTATAGAGTTTAACAAGAGATGGGGAAGTAGGTACTTAACAGGTTTGTGATTTTCAGGGTGGTGATTGAGAGAAATGTTCTAGAATTACAGTTTCATAGCACTGTGAATATATTAAAAACCTCAGAGTTAGACACTTAAGATGGTTAAAATGGTAAATTTTATATGAGTTCTATCACAATAAAAAATTGAAAACTATTTCAAACCATCTAACTTCTCTCCTCCACTGCCACCAAAATACTATCAGATTTTACCTGGACTCTTATAATAGATTCCAAACTGACCTACTGTTCTTCTGTCTACTCCAACTTGGTAGGCTTCAAAATAGTTGAGTTGGGGATGTAGCTCAATGGTAGAGTGATGTACAGGGCCCTACATTCTACCATCAGGACTACACATGTACACACACCACACACACACACACACCACACCACACACACACACCACACCCCCCCCCCACACCCTCTTTAAATTCTTTCAGAGTAGTTGCCAGGCACTGATTAAAATCCAACAAAATGCTATATGATCTGGCCCCTGCCCACTCTCCCTCCCGCCCGCTCCTCAGAGTTTGGCTACACTAAACTTCTAAGTGCTCTGGATGTGTGCACTTACATGTGTGTACATAGCTTGCCTGATCTCCCACT